CTATCTATCTATCTATCTATCTATCTATCTATCTATCTATCTATCTATCTATCTATCTATCTATCTATCTATTTATTTCCTCAGAAGGTCTCCTTGTGCTCTTGAGGCTAATTCAGGGCAGTCCGGCCAGGTTTTGTGGGCTCCCACCCAAAATATTTCTTCTTTTTTTTAAAAAAAATAATAATTGGTCGCTGGAGGATATAAGGCAAATTTTCCAGTGGAAAAAAAATATGTATTGAGCTGAAAAAATATTGGGGGTTGCAAGAGTGCCTTCCAAGTTCAACGATGGACATGCCTACCCTTGGGACATCACCCCCCCCTGCTTTATACACACACAGATGGCTTCATGCTAATGTTTAGTAGCAGTCAAACCTGCCACATATATTGCAAATCAAATAGCAAATTATCTCATCATAATAAATTCTGGAGATGATCTTTTTCCATATGAGATAGGCTTTTTGGACTCTTGAAGCATTCATTTGTGCTCCTTTAGAAGAAACGAAGCTATCTAGGACAGATACATGCGGTCCCAAATGGGCTGTGTTCTCATTTTCAAGACCAAGCTTAACCCTGGAACTAAAGTACAAAGAGCTGAAAACACTACCAAATAGATAGCAAATGTAAGTCAAAATGCTTCTTCGCTCAGCACATAGCTACATTCTGAAATCTCCTGCCAGAGGATATGGCGATGATGGCCACCAGTTTTGATAAAACATTATTCATGGAGAATAAGACTGTTGTTTTTGCTTGGCTATTTGAGGGCTCATATCTCTTCCCAGGCTTTAAGACCCTCACGGGAGGCCTTTCGCTCAGTGCCACTATCGTCACAGGCACGCTGAGTGAGTACACACGACAGGGCCTTTTTTGTAGCTTCTGCAACGTTATGGAATACCTTTCCATGGGAAATCAGGCTGGATCCTCCCTTCTGTCCTTCTGCAGACAGAGTTATGTTTTAGGCAAGCTTTTAATATGTAAACTCCTGTGGAGGACGGAATTTTAAGGGGAGAATTGTCCTTTCACCTTCTTAAAACATGTGTTTTTAACTGGTTTTAGCAATACTTTATTTTGTGATTTTTAGTAACTAATTTGTGTATTTTTTGTTTCATAATGTGGGTTTTACCATTATAATTTTTAAAATATTTGTGTTTTTAAATGATTTGAAAGGTGCCTTGAGTCCCTCTACAGGGAGAAAGGTGGAGTGGAAATAAAATAAAATAATTATAATAGCTATGATTGTAACAAGAGCCTGGAAACATTAATAATAGTAAAAAAACAACAACAGGTGTTTCTTGAGAAAAGTAATGTGTTATGTCTGCTGCTGATCTGGTACATAGGAAACAGGGTGGAGATCAGTACAATGAAGGTTTCGGAAGAGGAAGAAATTGTATCTCAACAACTACTCACTGGTGCAAGGACATCTCCCGCACAGCGCTTGACTGCAGTAGCTTTGTGTCGGTAGGACCCCTCTTGGGGAGCCTGGCTCTGCTGCCTCTTCTTGGCTTCACGCTGCCGAATCCGTAATAGTTGCAGCTGCTTCTGGCGCCGATTCAAGACCACTGGGTAAGAGAAAGGGAGCATTAAACCAGAAAATGCTTGTCCCAACATCTTTCCAGGAGACTTTCTCTCAGTTGCCACCATTCCCATAGGCATGCTTAGTGAGAAGACAAGACAGAGGGTTTTTGGTGGTTGTTACTGTGCTGTGGAACTCCCTTCCACAGGAAACCAGACTCAGAACTTTGGGAGATGAGAAACAAGAAACTACTGCCTTCCGGCAGTGAAACACTTCAGCTAGGCGGGAAATGAAGACTTCCATCCCTGACCACAAAATCAGATGTGGGAAGGGAAGAGCAAGATTGCTCCACAACCTTCTCTGGGCCATTCACTTTTGCTGACCCCGCCCACTGCTTCTCAACGTACAAGGAAAGTGAACAGAGCTCTCCACTATGGTCACGCTGCCTCTGCTGTTCTCCTTTGAACTCTGAGAATATCAGCTTCCCTTTTATAGATCTGACTGCTCTACTTCCAGGTGGAGTGCAAGGGCGTGTGGAGGTATAAGCAGTACTTCCTCATGATCCATTTTTACTCCATTTTCCCTCTAAGAAACTGAGGGCAGGCTTCTTCCTCTCTCCTGAACCCATTTTTAACCCCACAATGATCCTATGGTAAGAAAAATAGTGGTTGAGCACGACTCAATCCAATGTTCTAGAACTCCGTCATAAAGGCAGAGGAATTGGAAGAATGAAGAAAAAAAGGTAGTTTGGTTCTTCCATGCCAGTTTATACCCTTCTTATCTATATTCCGGCTCATGCTTCTGCCTCTGCTAAATTCTCCTTGTGGACTCAGAGGGAGGGAGAGAAGGACACTAAAGTTTTGGCACTGAAGATCTAGGTGCAACAAACATTAGTGGCAAGAGAGTGGGGCAGAAGTGCTTCCTGATAGAATACTTCCAGTTTACTCCTCATCCACAGTTACCCAGACCAGGTATTTGTGGCCCTCCAGATGCTGCTGAACTGCAATTCCCATCAGCCCTAGGTGGCATATGATAGCACTTTTCAAATACTTGAAAGGCTGTCATACAGAGGAGCAGCAGAATTTGTTCTCGATCATCCCAGAGTGCAGGACATGCAACAATGGCTCAAGTTATAGGAAACCAGATTTTGGTTGAATATCAGGAAAAAACTTCCTAACTGTTAGAGCGGTATGACAGTGGAACCAGTTACCTCAGGAGTTGGTGAGTGCTCCAACACTGGAGGCATTCAGGAGGAATTTAGACAACCATCTGGCAGGAGTTGGACTTGATGGGTTTATAGCCTTCCAACTCCTCTATTCTATGAGTCTATGATAACCAGTGATAATGGATGATGGAAGCTGCAGCTTTCCAATGCATCTGGAGGAGTAAAGATTTTCCATCCATGACTTGTACTTTTTTTTAATTTGATGGTTTCATCACAGAGGTACACACGAAGAAAAACTAAGAATAGTATAAATATACAGTTAAACCAATGTGCATCTACTTACAGTTTTGCCTACATTACTTGTTTTCACTTCTGCTGGTCACGGGCTGGGGGGGGGACAACTTTACAGGGCACTAAACTTCTGCCCCCAGATTAAGACTAGTGTGTCTGACACACACCTAGAATTCTTCAAGTACTGCTCTCAAATCTATCTTTTCAGTGCCTTGATCACTAGAACTTTTAATTAAAACAGGGAGTGTGAAATGTGTGGCTCTCGCCAATGGTGAGGAATGTGGGGAAGGCCACACTCTGTCCATCTCTGGCTTAAAAGAAAATGAAAGAAAATCCTCAGGGTAATTGACTCTGTGCACAATTCATACTTGGTAAAGTAGTGATCATATGCTTCCAGTCTTGTTTTATTCCTATTCTGCCTCAGGTTCAAATTCATACAGGACGCTTCCAGCACTGAATAAACATGCTAGGTAGATTGAGTGTGTTTCTTCCAGAGCTTGGGAGAGCATTACCACTAGCTATGTTTGCTGCAGGACTCTGGGAAAATTGCAGCTTTTCTAACCGCCTAGAGTGGTCCTGACCCGACCCCATTACCACTAGTTATGCTTGCTGCAGGATTCTGGGAAAACTGCAGTTTTTCTAACCTCTAAGAATTTCAGAGATGGTCTACAGTGCTTTACGATTGCCCCACATTACGTAATAACCTCTAAGAATTTCAGAGATGGTCTACAGTGCTTTACGATTGCCCCACATTACGACAAAAACGCATTATGACAACGTTTTTGCGATCGCTTTTGCGATCACAAAATGATGGTCTGAATAGGGTTTTTTCGCTTTGCGATGATCAGTTCCCTGCTTCAGGAACCGATGCTTCGCAAAACGACGATTTTCCAACAGCTGATCGTCAGTTTAAAATGGCCACCAGGTAAATAAAATGGGTCCCCGCTGTTTTCTGGGACGGATTCCTCGCAAGACAGCCACCGAAAATGGCCGCCCTATGGAGGATCTTCGCTGGACGGTGAGTTTCCAGCCTATTGGAACTCATGGAAGGGGTTTCAATGCATTTCAATGGGCTTTTTATTTTCGCATTACGACGTTTTCATTCTACAGCAATTTCGCTGGAACGAATTAACGTCGTAATGCGAGGCAGCACTGTACTTTCAAATACGGCAACCCTTTTCAGGGATAAATTGGTAGAGAGTTCTCAGAATGAGTTTACCATTCCCTTTTTCTGGGGGCATCTTGGGGCTCTGCACCATGCCCAAAACCACACAGGCTAGCTCTTCTGGGATGCACAGTGAGGAATTGAACTCCTAACCTTTGGCTCCACAGCTGGATACCAAATTCACTGAGCTATCCAGCCTTCCTTCTAAGTTCTCCACAGCTGGATACCAAACTCACTGAGCTATCCAGCCTTCCTTCTAAGTACCTAGTCACAATCCAAAGGGTTGATCTGAACCCTTCAAAGTAAGGATGAACAAGTTCCATGAGGTTATAGGCAACTTTTCCAGTTGGCCAACTACTCCATGACCACACACACAACTAGGACATGGCTGAAGGTGAAGATGTGGAGTTTAATGGGCTTTGCTCCTGCTTTTATGAAAATATGTAGTATTTCATTACATTACATTTGTTTACAAATGTTTCATTTTATAACTACGGTTCTTAATATTAACATTAAGAAATACTGATATTAAGAAGCATTCATATGAAGAGATGTTTTAATATTAAGAAATTAATATTAAGAAATGTTTTCTCCCATAAACCCATTCAGACTTAAGTAACAATGATCAAAGGTTAATTTCAATTCACTAAAGGTTTTTTCACCATTTTCTGCCAAATCCACTAAGATGTAAAGTTTATATATTACATTTAACTAATGGCAGAATACATTTACTTGACTACAGAATAATTTAAAATCACCTTAGAAAACCATGGACTCTTAAGTTTGCTTAAGAGCTTAAATAGCAAGAGCCAGTCAAATAACAAAGGCTTGTAAAGCCTATTTTAATAAGGAAGAGAAACACTTTGGAAGAGATGTGCTTTCTTGAGGCTTACAGGTTAGATGGTTGTTGTGAGTTTTTTGGGCTGTTTGGCCGTGTTCTGAAGGTTGTTCTTCCTGACGTTTTGCCAATTTCTGTGGCCGGGGGCTTCTTAGGACGAGCGGGACTGGAGTAGGAACTCTCCAGAGCATGGACAGAATTCCTCCTCCAATCCTCTGAAGATGCCGGCCACAGAGACTGGCGAAATGTCAGGAAGAACAACCTTCAGAACATGGCCAAAGAGCCTGAAAAACCCACAACAACCATCAGATCCCGGCCGTGAAAGCCTTCGTGAATACTTACAGGTTAGGTTTCCACTTTCAATTAACTATCTCTTTCAATCACCATTCAGTACTCAGTACATGTTTAAATGCCTGCCTTGTTCATGTAAGCAACCCATTTAGCAGTTTCCCCCTCAGTTTTGTCAGACCCTGGCTAAATGTACAAGCTCAAGTTCTTCCTCTTACCATCGGTGTGAGAGAAGCCCTCAGCGGTCACTTTCCACTGCAGCAGGATTCCCATTAAGGCAAGGACGGGCCAGGTGGCCAGCACGGCCCAGCCACACCAGCAGAGTGGGGAAGCAGGGGCCAGGCGGAGGCGGTCATACACATGCTGGCCCAAAGCCAGGTTCTCCACAGCATAGTCCAAGCAGAGGGTTAGCACGGCGCCCCCAAACACAGCCGTGGAGATCACCGTGAGGGTCTTCTGCCAACGCAAGGCCAAGACAGCACCCAAGAGGGCAGAGCCCAAGAGAGATCCAGCAGGGACCCAGGCACTGCGCAGCTCGTACAAAGGCTCCGTGGCCACCAGCCCAGCAGTGGCCACCAGCAAGCCAAGTAGAAGCCCAGTCAGGAACAACCCAACGGAATGCACCAACATGGTGACCAAGCCACACAGAACTCCAATGCCCAGGGCAATGCCGGCGCTGACCTCCAAGCTCAGCTGCGTGTCCAAGATGCGCTCCTTGTAACAGAGCAGGAAGATCACAGCTGAACCAAAAAGCAGACCTGAGAGGAACATGATGGCTTTGAAACAGCGGTAACCTGTGGGCAGAAAAAGAACCAAAGTCATCCAAAGACATTTCATGGGAGGCATATTCTGCCAACACAAAGGCAGGCCAAGACAAGGACAACTGGCAAATAACCCAAATTCTTATTATGGGGATTAAGTGAATCGCTAATATCAATGCACAGAAAACATTTCTTTGGGACATTTATATTGCACTATATGCCCTAAGATTCCAGGTACTGTACAACAGCAACAATAAATTCAATACATTAAAACCATTTAAAACATTCAAACTGCAAACATACATTAAAACCAACAACAGTAAAAAAAAAAGCCTCCACAGCCTTTTGAGCCATGATCCTTAATTCCCAAAGGCCTTGGTGATTAATTTTGTCATCAAATGAGGTTAAAGTTGGCGTCAGCCAAGCCTCTAAGGGGAGAGTGTTCTATAGCTAGGGTGCTACAACCAAGAAAGTCCCCCTGCATCTCTGTTTAGTGGATCATTCTACATGGCAGGAGAGGAAGCAGAGGTTAGTGATGAGGTAGGTATATCTAGGGAGAGGTGTCCCCTCAAGTATCAAGGTCTCAAACCTAGGGCTTTACAGGTTATTATCAACACTTTGAACTCAGACTGGCAGTGTACTGGCAGCCAGTGTAATTTTTTTTTTAAAGAGCTGGGCTCTGAAGGGTTTTTCTGCTAGCAATCTAGCTGTCACATATTGCACCTGCTGCAGTATGTGTTGTCTCCAAGGGCAGCCCTACCTAAAGTGCATTACAGTAGTCTAACAGCGAGGTTCCCAGAGCATGAACTACTGTATCTAGGTTGTCTGAGGATGGTCACAGCTGGTGGGCCAAGCAAAGACAGTCCCAGACGCTCTAAGCCGCATGGCGAGAGAAGTGTGATTATGAAAATTGGCCCTCCTTTTGTAGTCACTCAGAACAAAGGTTTCATGCAATTTGTGACGAAGCCTTGCAATTATCACCATGGCTGTAAAAGCAATTGTTACGTGAGGGATGTGAAATAGATCAAGTATGAAGAACACATTGTTCTTGTTAAGAAACTGGCTATTTAGTGTCATTGAAATGTATGTGCAACACTGATAGGGCACATACATTTGCGACTTTTAAAACAACAACACTGTTTTGTTAATTTTTAGCATAAGTATAACATCCAGATTAAGAAATTATAAACTTTTGTTGCTTCCTCTTTCAATGTTAAAATCACCAGAATAATGAGTACATTAAAAAGTTCACTGAAAACTTGCCATACAGTGTACATTTGTTTGGATTACTCCCCATCTAGAGAGTTAGATTCCAATTAACCCACCCCGGGCCAAGAAGCTATTTATTTTTTGTCTCTCTCTTGCATTTTCCAGATTTACCAGATGTCACTTTATTTGAGAAGAAATGGTTACGCTTAGGTAACAGCATATGAGGCTAGAGTTTCAGAATGTGAGTTGGAGTTTTTTTTTCCATAGTACCTTTCCAATAAAACAGGGTAAAAAGAAAAGAGGGGCAGTAGCGCCCGCAATATATTTTATACGGTCTCCTTTGCAAAAGGGGAAGACCACATTCCTCCTCTTTCATTAAAAAAAAATTATCCACAGACCTCTTCCTTTCCTCCCATGGCCTCAGCTGCGGAGGCACGGGGGGGGGGGGGAGAACTTCACAGGCTGGCACCTTTCAGGTATGTTGGACTACAAATCCCACCACTACATGATGGGAGATATGGTCCAATAAGCCTAGAAGGCAGCAGATAGCTTGAAATGCTTTAATGCACACTAGCAACTTAGGGTGGGATGGTGACAGCTTAAACAGGACAGCAATAATAAGGAAAATAAGAGTAAGCCTTATTGCACATGTGCACTCCAGTTTCAGAAATGTGTAAACGTCATCATGAGAGTGGAGCCTGTGCTATTAGCAGAAGGGATGGGGGGAGAGGATGGGGGGAGGGGTCATCACTAGGAGGGAAACTCTACTATGGTGGGGAACTGCATGTCATCACTTCCCCACCAAAGCTCATCCACAGTTCTAGAAAGTGTAAGCTTGCGCCTCTGCCTTTATAACGATTCAAACTATGAAACATCTTTTTGTTAGGGTCAAAATATGCCATTTACTAATGTTTGTTGCAGTGTTCATATTTGGTAGAGATAAATACCAGATGTAATTACCACTTTCATTCACTGGCAGCTTTGTATCGGCTACTTTGGTAGGGCAACCCTGTGTGTGTGTGTGTGTGTGTGTGTGTGTGTGTGTGCGCGCGCGCGTGCGTGCGTGCGTGCGTGCTGGTCTGCCTGTCTATCCCTGCAGATGTGTGGGGGAAATTCTGATGTGGGGGTTACTGCCAAGAATTCAAAACCTTTTAAAAAAGGGCCATGCTGACAGGAGAGTTCTGTTCAACAGTAGTAACTTTTCCAAGTTTTGAATTGCACATACTGTAGTTCCAGAGCATCTGAATGTAAAAGGGGAGCTTGATTTGATAAGAAAAATATGTATTGTGTTCTAATTATAAAGTTACTTTCAAGGTTGTACTAATTACTAGGATTAGGACTGGTGAAACACTAGCCATCCAAAACATTTAGACTTCAGCTCCTAGCACAGCCAGTCGTGATCATAAGGAATCATGGGAGTTGTAGTCCCAAATCCCTGGACAGCTGAAGCTTCCCAACTATGCAGAGTCTTTGCTCAAGAACTGCAGTGAAAAGGATACTTGTCCTCATCTATTATAGGGTAGAAGCAAGAAAGACAGAGTTGTAGACAACTCCTTGAGAGCAGGGGAGGAAAACAAGTGGGAAAGTTTGAAGGCAGCTCCCAGGCAGAGATGTGTCTTTTCCTTTTGCTTACCAAAGCAGCAGTAAACCACTCCAAAAATGCAGCAGAGAGCACAGATGATGCAAGGCACGACTTCATAGTGCCTTCCAGAAAGGAGGCTGCAGGGATCCACAGCAGGCTCATTTGACTCGGTCGTCCCTTGGTTTAAGTCCTGGGGGTCAGGAGTCAGAAGGACAGGAAGAAGCGATGTGGGCTCCATGATCACCAGCCAAGGTGCACCTCAGTTTTCCACCAGAGCCATCCAAGTGGGAAGGACACCTGTTGAAAGAGAGTTTCATCTAGGCTTCAAAACTGCCAGAGACAACAACCTTGGAGAATGTACAAGAGCCACAAACCCATTCGACTTTTCCAGTAGCCCACGGAAATGGGGAAAGTTACCGCTGGGACGACAGCTCATCCAACAGGGCCAGCAGCCATGCCTGCAGAATGATTCTAGAAGTGAACCCCACTTTTTTCCATATTCTGGGTCATTCTTTGTTTCTCCAACTCCTTCTAGGTGGGCAGCAAGGTACGTAGGAAAGGCTGGGTGCACTGTTAGGGGTTTGGGGGAACTTTGGTCAGGCTAGAAGGCTTCACTGTCCACCACTACTGGTGAATACGTCTACTACCGGCACCCCACTTTCTCCATCCATCCATCCATGATCCCTATCAGTACTTTGGTTGCTCTGCAACAATCCTGCATTACCTAGCCCAGCTGGCCAGGCAGGAAAGGGTGGTCCCTTTTGTCTTAGGCCATGCATCCAGGCAGGTGGACTGTGCCATGTACACGTCCAATTAAAAGTCAAAGGAGAGCAAAAGATAAGGGGCAGCAGAAAAGTTAGCAGCTCGAGCATGCAGGTACCATGGTGGGTGCTGCCCTTCTTGCTACCTGTGAATCCTACTACATCACCATAACCATCTGTTGCTTCCTCCTGCTAGTTATTTGCTGGCTCCAGATTTGCATTTCATAACCCGGGCCCTCTAAAACCACTGGCTCTGGTGCCAAATTTGCAGGAGAACAGCAGTGCCAGGGGTACCTGATGGAGAGAGGAAGGGTTGAGGATAATACAACTATAATCTGCACCCCTAAGGTAGATACAGTGGACCCTCGACTTACAGACGGCTTGATTTACAGACTTTTTTGAGTTACAGACTTCTCTGGCCGCAAAATTTAGGTTTGACTTGCAGACTACCGTAAGATTTGACTTACAGACCAGAAAAAAACCAAAATGGAACAAAAACGGCCTTTATGGGATTAATCGGTTTTCAATGCACTGTAGGTCAATGGAGACTTGACCTACAGACTTTTTGACTTGAGAACTGCCTTCCAATACGGATTAAGTTCTCAAGTCAAGACCCCACTGTAAGTAGATTTGATTATGGTCAGTGGCTACGATCCAAAATACAATAAACTATAAATACATCCAATGTGTAATCTCCTAGTGGCATAATAAGTACCGGATGTATTCCCTTTTTAGAAGATTGCTGCTGTTAACTAAATACTAATTACAGATATTCTAAAATTATTCCTTTACAAATTCCTTCCCAGATTTGGACTGTAGCAGCACAAAATTTCACCACATTAGACAGCATATTTATATTCTGTCTTGGAAGCCATGAAAGAGTGGGAAATGACTGATAGTCTAGAAGATTTCTTTAAACAAGGTTCAAAAGAGATTTCTGCTTATGATAAAAAAGGGCAAAGCAAAACAACATGCATTATTGCTTCTATACCTCCAGAATTACAAAAACATTTGTGCTGATCGTACAGGATCTTTTTAAACTTCTCTTCCTAGACTACTGAGAGCAGAGCACGTAGCCAGACACGGGTGAAAGCTCTGTGTTTTTGTACTGAAAGTAAGAAAAACTAATTTGCCAGTTTAAAAGACTGCCAACCCTCTGTTGATTAGAATGTTGTCTGAGGTTGTGCCTAGATTGTGTGGCTCTTGATCTCTGTGATCTGTTGTCTGAGGGCTGATCTTCCTGCATGATATCCTATACCAGTGGTTCCAACCTTGGGTAACCTAGGTGTTCCTGGACTGCAACTCCCTGAAAACCCAGCAAGCACAGATACTGGTGAAGGCTTCTGGGAATTACAGTCAAAGAATGCCTGTGTTATCCAAGGTTGGGAACCACTGATGTTCTTTCAAGGTAAGTGTGATATTTAAGGGGTGGTTTTGACGGCGCCACACTCCTCGTGGTTTCCTATGGCAGAGACAGGATTCAAAACCAGGCCTCCTGAGACATCTTAAAAGAAATATTATAAAGCAGAAAAAAGATGGCAAAATGGACAATCAGAAAAGTTCAAGGAGGCTGGAGCAACCACTCTGCGAGGATCTGGACCTTTTGTTTTCGTTTTGCTTTGCTGCTCAAGTAAAAAAGATGAGGAGTGATATGCCAGGAGTATATAAAACCACGTACTAGAAATACTGGCCAAAAACAAACAAACAAACAAACAACATATAAAGCCACATACTAGAAATACTGGCCATAAACAAACAAACAAACAAACAATATACATAAAAATGGGTACAAGAGAAACTTTTCTTTCTTGCCCTAGAACCCAGGATTCTCAAAAAAAAACTGAAATAGTGGGAGATAGTTCACTTCTAATGGGAAACATTCATGAACTATGGCTGTCAGTAACTTCAAACTATTACACTTCGGAACATGGACTGAAATGGAAAACAGGAATGGGCGTTAGCTTCCCGAAGGTCCAGAGGAAATCAGGGTGGTTCAAACGAGTAGCATGATTAGGCTCCTCTGAATTCAGTGAGGGAGAGGAGGAGGAGTATTGTGCTCACGCCTTTTGTCCAGGTTTCGCACAGGCATCAGGTTGACCACCAAGAGAAACAAGATGTTGGACTAGATGCTCCTTCAGTAGGATTCAGGACAATTGCTCGTAGGCTCATTGCTCACTAGGGCTTATCCACCTGGCTTCTACCATCACTCAGCTCCCTAAGGAGTTCCTTTCCTACCCTCTTCCCACTCCCTAAGGGTTAAGCTATTCACATGACTCAAGTGGCAGAAAGCATGACTAACCCCCCCCTTCCCCCCAGCTGGAATGGGCAAGATGCATCATTCCTCACCCTCTTTCCATGTCTTGCAGCCATCACGTCAAACCCAAGCCAACATTTCTACATACCACCTACAATCCCTCTGCTTTACATCGGGGGGGGGGGAGAAGGGGGCAGCTTGGAGGCTGACAAGGGACACAAAGAGGTGGAAGTCCATAATTACATCTAAATTCAACGACGATTTAAACTTGATCATCAGCCAGGACTTCTGGGTCCCGTTCCCGGATTGGGAGGGGAAGCACGGTGAATTGGAGCAGGAGGCAGAACGAGGAGCCAGAACTTTCTGGGCTCCCTTCCCAGCTTCAAGAGGGAAGGCATCCATCATTTTTCACAGGGGTCCTGTTTCAAGTTGGGTAGAAGGCAAAGGAAGAAAGACAGCCCTCCCGGCAAACCCACCTAGGATCAGGGTTGCCAAGTGCCTCCTCCTACTTGAAGAATATCCCCATAGTTCAGAGCATCACAGATTCACAAGACAGGGGAACAGGTCCCCTTATTTCTGTGCAGCATTGTTTCCATATGCAAAGTTCCAATGCCAACTTTGCTTGTCTTCCAGCTGTAATATCCCCGACAGAACTTGGAAAGCTTTCTTTTTTGGATTACAACCCGTGGCCCTATTAGCTAGGTGATTGCGGGAGCGGAGTCCATAAACTCCCTAGTTCTGAGTTTTTCTTAGACATCAATGTAAGGATATCCATAATAGACAAGTGGGACATCTGGCCCAGACACAGCCAGCTTCTGAACTGCATAAGCATGCCCCTAAAAGTCGAGTACTAATTCAGTCAACGCTTACCCAGGAATTAAAAGAAAGCAGCTCTGTAACACAGCAGTGAAAAATGACAGGCAGGTGGCAAGAGGAGGTGATGTGAATGGCGGGCAAAGCACAGAAAATGTACTCAGACAGCATCTGTGCCACAATGCACAGAGGCCACCATTTGAGGGCTGTAAACAGGTTACAACATTCTTGCTATATTATAGGCATAATTCTGTTCTAATTAGTCCACATTATTGCTTCAAGTTTGCACTCCCAGTCACTAATGTGAATCCACCATCTTGCCCTGAAAGGGCGAATGACATCCTTTTTCATCACAATTATCTCAGCAGGGTGGCTAAATCAAGCTAAATAGTAACTTACCCCTATTAAACAATTTGAAACACTACAAATCTGCAAGTGTCCACTATAGCCTGTCTTTCAAAGGTACAAAGGAAAGCCCCTATATAAAGAGTCAGAGGATCGTGCATGTCTCTGCTCACGTATGGATCCTAGGAAACAACATGATATACATGGCGTACAAGTTTTATACAACTTGTTCTGTGAAGCTATGGAAAGAAGATATAGAAGATGTGAAGCTTCTTTTAATCTCCCACTGTCAGCCTATATACCAGGGAGGATTTACTGAGTCCAACTTCTTTCCACCTGCTCAGATTTCTGTGGTTGAAATTTTACCATCTAGGAGATTCTAGATTATTGTTTCAGGAAGGACTAGTGTGGCAAGTTTCAGTTGTAGAAACCGCAACTTTTATAGTTAACCTGAATCAATTAAGTTCATATTCAATAGTTTTTCTTCAAACTGTGGTGTCTGAGCTCAAATCTACTGAAAGCCATTCCTGTCCTATTTTTAAGAGTTCTTCTTAATTCAGAGGGAGGGCAGAAGGTGAAAGCACTCTGCATATGCTCAGAAGCACTATTCCTATGACTGTGATTTGTCAGAAGAATCACACTAAAATAAGTGTGGGGGGGGTCTTGAAAGGGATAATACAATACTCCTTTTCTTTCTCTCATCCTCTCTCTTTCTGATTGCTTTGCTTTTAAGATCTTCATGTCTGAGTTCGGTCTGAAACGAATTCCGGGAGTGATACTAAACCTCGGCTCAAACAAAAGCTCTCACTCTCCCAGATGAGAAGTTCTCGATGCTCCCTCTTTCAAGCAATACCCAATGCAATAATCCACTCCCGTACATGTGCCGCCACCTTCAGGGGCTGCAGCTCAGCTGACCCAGCCGGTCACCACATCCTGGCTATTGATGTCTGTACTGTATATATACACACAGAGAGATGGACATGGATATACAACAAAGGGCTTAACAGAGGTGTTGCTGCCTCTTCTTCCCCCAGCCATGGCTTGGATCCCAGACAGGAAAATGGTGCTGAGTTGAACGGAAATATTCCCTTCGGGATCAGACAGCGAGTACTGTATCAGTTTTAGCATACCCTTACTAGCTGGCTTGTGTGGAGGGGAGGGAGGGAGGGAGGAAAGGACGCAGCGAAGAATCCAGGAGGTGGGAGGAAAGGATTAAGCCAACAATCCCTAAAATCCAGAGCGCTCCTAACAAAAGTTCTCTTGGTTGTTAACAGAGCTCCACCACGCGAGGCAGGAAAAGGAAAGAGCCGACATAATGACAGGGATTCTTTGGCAGGAGGAGAGCTAGCCAGCTTCTTTGCTCCCGGTCCCTTGTTTCTGACTCCAGCTCATCTTTGCGCTTCGCTGCCCAAATCCGAGATCGAGGCAGGCGCTCTGCGAGACCGTCGAGATCAGGATTGGGACACCCGCTGCGCCAGCCTATCGTTCCCATTCTCTCCTTCCACTGTTTGCTTCCTGCGGAGATCTCTCCTCTTTTCGGCTTCCCTCCCTTCAGAGCCACCAAGGGAAGACCCCCCCCCTCCAAACTTTGCCTTAGGACAAGCTGTCCGGCCAGAAGAGAGCAAGCACGTCAATTAAAAAAAAAAACCTGGGGAAAATCCAGGCAGGAAAAGGTCCCTCTCCTAGTTGCAGCACGAAGGCAAAGCAGAACAAAATAGACCCGTCTTCTCGACCCACGTCCCAGGACCCGACCGGGAAAAAAAGAAGCAAACTCCCTGGTAAAACTTACCAGCCTAGAGGACGGTTCCCACCACCGCACAGAGGCAGGGCTGGTGTGCCGAAGCGACATCCCACCCGCTCCACCCACCCGGGAGAGGAGCTGTTGGGAGCTGCGGACCGAGCCGCCTAAAGAAAAGCCTCGGTTTGCCCCGGCTCCTGCCCGGAGCGGCGAGCATCCCGGGGCCCTCTCGCCTCCCGTTCAAATCTCTGCAAAATAACCTTTTTCCCCACGACAGCTGAAAAGTGACCTCACCGAGCGCGGGGAGGGGCCAGGGAAGAAGTTGGCACCCGGGAGAGGAGCTGTTGGGAGCTGCGGACCGAGCCGCCTAAAGAAAAGCCTCGGTTTGCCCCGGCTCCTGCCCGGAGCGGCGAGCATCCCGGGGCCCTCTCGCCTCCCGTTCAAATCTCTGCAAAATAACCTTTTTCCCCACGACAGCTGAAAAGTGACCTCACCGAGCGCGGGGAGGGGCCAGGGAAGAAGTTGGG